GTCGGAAAACGTTCACAGCTTTGCGAGCTTTAAATGCAAGATTTTCAATGATTGGAGATAGTGCATTACTTGTAGAATTAAAACTTAGGCCAACATTGTTGGATCGAATCAAAGACTTGCAAAGTAAAGATGAAAAGTGTTTGAAGAGGATGGAGCAAGTGAAGAATAAAGAAAATAAAGATTTTGAGGTTAAACTTGATGGAAATTTGTATTATCGATGGAAGCTTGTTATTCCAGATGATGAAGAATTAAAGAATGACTTGTTGACAAGAGCTCATTGTATTACGTTGACTATGCACCCTAATGGAAATAAGATGTATATGGATCTTAAGAGTCAATATTGGTATCCTAGAATTAAAAGAAATATTACGGAATTTGTGTCCAAATGTTTGACGTGTCAACAAATCAAAGCTGAGCATCAACTTCCTTCAGATTGTTGCAACCAATATCTATTCCTCAGTGGAAGTGGGAGAATGTGACGATGGATTTTGTAATGGTGTTACCTTTGACTCCGAATAAGAAAGATTCAATTTAAGTGATAGTTGATCGATTGAATAAGTCAGCACATTTCATTCCAGTTTGAACTGATTTCTCCATGGATAAGTATGTTGAGGTGTACATTAGAGAGATTATTTGATTACATGGTGTGCCTGTTTTGATAGTTTATGATCGAGATCCTCGATTCACATCGAGATTTTGGAAAGCTTTGTATGGAGCCTTAGGAACTCGATTAAATTTTAGTACAACCTTTCATCCTCAGATAGATGGACAGTCTGAGAGAACTATTCAAATCTTAGAAAACATGCTAAGAGTATGTGTTATCGAGTTCAAGGGATCATGGGAGAAGTATTTGTCACTTGTCGAATTTGCTTACAACAATAACTATCACTCTCTATGAGGCTCTATATGGAAGGATATGGTGTACGCCATTGAATTAGCACGAGCTCAAGGATCGAGAAGTTTTTGGTTCTGATCTGATCAAGGAAATAAAGGAAAAATTGTTGATAATTCAGCACAATCTCAAAGTGGCAGCCGATAGACAGAATTCATATGTCGATCTAAAGAGAAAAGAGATTGAGTTTGAAGTTGGAGATAAAGTATTTTTGAAAGTATATTCATGGAAAAAAGTATTACGTTTTGGTCAGAAATGAAAGCTGAGCCCCAAATTTATTGGAACATATAAGATTATTAAGAGAGTGGGACCAGTGGCATATCAATTAGCTTTGCCACCGAAAATAGAGAAGATTCATAATGTTTTCCATGTTTCCATACTTCGAAGATATCGATGTGATCCTTCTCATATCATTGTGCCGAAAGAAATAGAGGTTCAACCAAACTTGACTTTTGAGGAAGAACCAGTGAGATTTTGGCACATGAAGTTAAACAGTTAAGGAATAAGACAGTTTCATTAATCAAGGTTTTGTGAAAGAACCGGTGAGATTTGTAACATCCTAAACACCGGGTTAGTGACCAAATTTCAAGATTTTAAAATTTCGTGATCAAATTAGATAAATTAAAAATGTCAGGGACTTAAGTGGAATATCTTTGTGTAGGATTGAATAGCAAAGAAGAAATGATGAAAAGGCATAATGGTTATTTGATAAGAAAATGAATTTTAAATTCTTTAGTGGTGTATTATATACACGTGGAAATGAAAGAATAAGGAAAATATATCCAGAAATTTCTTCATCTTTCTTCTTCATCTCCACCGTAAGCTTCATCGAAAGCAAGTTCAGGATGATTCAAAGACATAAGATCAATCAAGAGTGTTAAGTGTTTTGCTTTGACTAGTGAGGCCAAGGTGAGTGCATACTATTATGTATAGGGTATTTTATGGAAATGAGACTTGCGATGAGTCTATTTACTATGTTACTATTGCATGATTTCATGAGTACGAGCATATTGTTGATATGGTTTCTATGTGTACATGAGTACAAGTATATGTCTATATGTTACATGCACTGATATACAATGGCTATATGTTACATGTTATCCTATGTGTTACATGAACTATATGGATATACGAGAATAAGACACAAGCTATATGAAAATGGTCTATGTGAATACATGTCTATGTGATAAGCTATGTGAAATGGTATAAAAGGTAAAGCCCATAAGTATGTGATATGAGAGCTAATGGTATAATAGGCATGCCAAGAGTCGAGGGTTCTACGTGGTCCTTCGGGACAATTCTACGCGGTCCTTCGGGATAATTCTACGCGGTCCTTTGGAAGATTTATATGTGGCACTTCAGTGCAATTTCTATGCGGCACTTCGGTGCAATTTATACGAGTTGTGGTGACAACATTTGTGCACACCCTCAATGCAATCACATACCTTAAGTTCTCAAGAATGTACCATGGGCTATTAAAAAATTATAATGAATAAACAGTACATAGTATTAAATGTTTTTGTTTGGTGAAGTGTGTGATGTTACATGTTATTGTTTTGTGAAATATATTATGTATTATGTACATTATGAAAGTTTATGATTACATGTTTCAATTATGCATGATATGCCTCACTAAGTCAAAGACTTAGCGTGTGAGTGTTTCACACGTAGGTTCAAAAAAGAATGAAGTGCGAAGTTAAGATCAGGCAAGACAGCATATCCATATGAGAAGTTCAAATTAGAAACAATTTACACTATATGTTATTTTGTTGTATTAAAGGTGTTGGCATGTAACTAAATGTTTAAATCGTATTTGCTCTGATCGTTTTTGTTAACATACATTACTATGTTTATGTAAATTATTGAGTTTTTAATTTCAATATACGTTAAATTATGTTTATTTACTTTTGATCAAATGTTCCACCACTTTATTTCAAATGTATGTTTAACTTTCAACTATCTTTTAAAAGTAATTTTTTGAAAAGTTAATGTGACACCTCGGATTTGTATCCGGGTCGGATACGGGTTGGGGTTGTTATAGATAAAGTTGTCGAATAGTCGGACATCTGTAAGGCTTAATAGTGAGGCATACCAGGTGAGTGCATTTATTATGTACTTATATGTTATGATAATCATATATGCATTTTGTTTAATGTATATGTTTTGAAAATCGTATTGTCACTATGTGTGCAACCTAAGTAACTCATAATTAGTTTGTGAATTATTGTATTGACACTATGTGTGCAACTTAAGTAATTCATAATTTGTTTGTGAATTTCCGTAATGGTACTATGTGTGCAACCTAAGTAATTAATAATTAGTTTGTGAATTACCGTATTGGCACTATGTGTGCAACTTAAGTAATTCATAATTTGTTTGTGAATTACCATATTGGTACTATGTGTGCAACCTAAGTAATTCATAATTAGTTTGTGAATTACTGTATTGGCACTGTGTGTGCAACTTAAGTAATTAATAATTTGTTTGTGAATTACCATATTGGCACTATGTGTGCAACCTAAGTAATTTATGATTAGTTTGTGAATTACCGTATTGGAACTATGTCTGCAAAAACCAAGGAAATTAAAATGAGTTGTAATATTCAAATTGTATTTGGATAGTTATGTTATACTTATGTTTAAAATTCACCTCATTATTATTATGCCTCATTAAGTGATTACTTAGCTCGTGTTGATTTCACGCATAGGTATTAGTACAAGCAGAGTAAGGAGTGCAGCTGCATCGCCAATCAAGGGTCGCCTCATCAATAAATGTACGACAACTATGTCTACTTTTGATGTTATTAGCTAGCATGTAATAGACTTATGATAATGCTCTGAAAAGTATTTGGCTTGTGATGATGTAAAATTTAATATGTTCAAACTTTAAGATTTGTTACATACTAAAAGTAAATGAACGTTTTATTATTATTAAATTAAAATGTTTTATGAATATAAACAAATTTTTACTGGTTTTTCAAAAGTGGAATGTTTTAAAAGTTATGTGACATCTGTGACTTGTGAACGGAAACGTAAACGGGAAATGGGTGTTACAGGATCTACAAGGGCCATGGTAAAATTGTTAAAAAGTGTTACCATAACAAGCCCATTGTTCATTGTTTCTTCAACAGTACCAATACAAGCATCATGGTATTTTAGATAGTGAGTATCCAGTAAAGCAATTCGTGCTACTACTAGTTTTCTTCAGCGCCATAGTAGTTGAAATCTAAACGGATTGCACCAAGGTGAATATGAGAATAACCCGCTTCTATCCATCTTGCTAGAAAATAAGAGGGAATTTCCAGTGTAACAAATTGTTCTGTTGCTCCTCCATTGATGAAGTGTTTATCAAACCGAGAGAAATGGACATACTCTTTAACACATTTAGAAGGTGTATGGATTAAAGACTTTATACTTTGGATGAGAGAAAATGAAGGTTTTTTATAAGCATAATATGGATCGATGAGAGAAAGTTATGTAGGTTGAACTTTCTCATCTTCAGAGTAGTTGATTTCATATAAGGATGAAGCCTTGTTGGAAACATGAGTTTTTAAAGGAAAATTAGTCATATAAACAATAGATTTTGAGGTTGACATCAGAAAATGATATATTCTTTCAAAATTTTATTAAAATGAACAAATAGATTTAGGAATCTGGCTCTTATGCTAATTTATGATGACAAGAATGACAAGGAAAATAATCAAAATATTGTAGCAAGTATGCTATGCTAAAGAAAGGCTTTTCTACGGTCATAAGGGCACTACCTGTTAGCTACAGTAATAGATCATAAACCCGCCATTGCTACCATCATACTTGGTTTCTTAGTCTAAATCTTCATGGTTTTTGATGCAAACATGATCCATATAAATGACAGATTTACAGAGCATACACCAAGAAAACTCAATGGAGATATTCTAAACTTTTTCTCATTTTTCTTTTCTTCACAATATAGCCTTTTACAGAGACATCCAATTTTCATACTCGTATTCCAACAAATAAATAAGTTCCCAAGTTTATTAAACGCAACAACTTTTGGAACAGGACGTCTATCCTCTTTCATAAATTAATTTGTTGCTAATTATATTGCTTTTTGGCAATTCTCTCCTTTTTTTCAATGAGTTGGAGGGTCATAGCAAGCTGAAAATAGTCCGCAGCATCCCAAGACGTTGCACCTGAAAATAAATATTAATTTTGTTAATATTAATATAAAAATAATTTATTTTAAAAAATAAAAATAGTTTATGATTTAAATGGATTTGGTTGAGTTTCAACGTGTTCAGGTATCAGATTATACATTCATGTCATGTCTGAAGATTCATTCAATATTTGAATTTTTTTTGACATAAATATAAAATTTTAAAAATAAATTTTGGTTAAATGATTAGACCGACTTTAACTAAATGTTAATGTTAGACCTGAGTTTTAACATTTGACCGGGTTTTTTTTCCTAAATTAGTAATATTTATTAGGGTAAATTACAAATTTGGTGACTAAACTTTACTATCATATTTCACTTACTGTACTTTAAATCTCTTTACTTTCCTCACTGAACTTAATACATTGGGTTTTTTTGGTTCCTCGGCTGTTAAATAGTTAACGACATTAAAATGGATTGTTATATAGATGCAAAATGATATCATTTTAATATAAAATTTTTTTTTTAAAAACATCGTAGTTTTTAACGCCGTTAACTATTTAATGACGGGGTGACCAAAATAGGAGAGAAAGTAAAGTTCAGTGACCAAAAACATCAATGTATTAAGTTCGGTGAGGAAATTGAAAAAAAAATTAAAGTTTAGTGAATAAAATAGGAGAGAGAGTAAAGTTCAGTGATGCAATTTATAATTTACCCTATTTGTTATTATATATTTTTATATAATGAAAAATAGAAAATATACGGTATTAAAACTTCAAAAGAAGAAGAAAAAAAACATTATTTCGAAGAGAAAGATGTTAAATGAGAAAGAGGGCTACTGAAAATATAAAAAGTAGGTAATTAATAAAAAGGAAATTAAGTTACAGCATATTCATGAAGCCTCCTTCTCCTTTCGTTCTTTTAGTTGGACAACATGTTGTTCTTCCTTCTCCTCCTGCACTTGATATAAATTAAATTAAATTAGTCAGACTACTATGTTAGAACCAATTCAATAAGTTAAGACACATATTGAGTTATGGGTGAGCATTCGGTCGAGTCGAGTCAAAATATTTTTAGTTATTTAAGTTGACGAGTCTTATTTTATAATTTAAAGTTGACTTGAAATTTTTTCGAGTCGAGTTTATAAAATTTGAGTCGAGTCAAATTTTCGAGTTTCAATTTAAATTTAATTGTAAATATTTATAATATCATGACATTATTTGATTTCAATTTAAATGATATTTTATAATAATATACAATATATATATATATATATATATATATATTCATAATTTTTTATATGTGATTTACATATATCATAGAAAGTTGAGGGACTCGACTCAAACTTGAAAATCAATCTACTAATCACTAAAAAGTTCGAGTTATTTAAGCTATATTTTACAACTCGATTTGAATTTGAAAATTTTTCGAGTTGAGTCGAGTTTATGAAATTACAACTCGAAGTCAATTCTAGTCAAGTTTTTTTTCAAATTTGGTCGAGTCAAAAAAATCGGTTTTTCGAGTCAAATCTAGTTTTACTCACTCCTATATTGTGCTAGTAAAACTTTTTTTTTTTCAAAATTTTATTTACATGTATAAAATTTAAACCGTTCGAATTAAAAATCGAAAATTTAAACTAAAGAAACAAAAGAAGTAGAGCAAAACCTGGTGATGAGTTTTCTTGTTGCTTCTCCCGGGGGATATGGCTCTTGCCCACCATTTTTGTTTCCCCCATTCTTCTTTTTATCTCTCTTTGGAGTGTGATTTTAGGTATTTATAAAGCAAGCAAATGGAGATGAAAGAATCTGTAAATTATAACAGACGGAGGGCTGCTTGGTATTTTCCCCAATCTTTCCATTTGTGTTGGTCCAGCTTGCTTTATTATTGTTTTTATAAAATTTTAAGAGCATTGATAATGCTTTAAAGGAATCAATCCTCTTTTGAGAAGTTCCCATCTCTTTTCAAGGACTGATTCTCTTTTAAATTGTATATAATTTTTATATAAAAAATTAATCTAGAATTCAAGGTTTAAGATTTAAAATAATAGTTGGATTATGATTTTAGGTATTATGAATTAAGCAAATGGAGATGAAGGAATGCATAGATTATAAAAGATTGAGGATTACTTTTATATAAAAATTGTAACTATCTTATTTTAATTGTTTCTTTGTCATTTTTGTATTTTTCTAGGCATACCGATAAAATTAGTCTCTAATATTTGATAAAATAGTCATTTTGACCACTATTTTCTTGAAACACTTTGGTCGTACAATATTTTATTTTGAGGCAAAATATCCTTAGCTGGATAGAAGCTATTAGTTGATATGATATGTCTGCATGGATTCGAATATTAATGTGATATGTTTATGTGTGATGCCAAGTCAGTAAAAAAAATATTTTAAAATTTATTAATTATAAATAATTTTAAAATATTATTGATGTGGCATCAAACATGGACATGTCACGTTACCATTCTAATCCACGTGGACATGTCACATCAGTAAGAAGCATTAATCGTTAATCAATTAACGATTTCCATTCAACCAGAGATATTTTGCCCCAAAACGAAAATGTTACGGCCAAAATTATTCAATAAAAATAATAAAAGTCAAAATGATCATTTTATCCAACATTAGGGACTAATTTTATCAATGTGCCATTTTCTAACACTAATATTTAATTCTTCAAAAAGTGTAAATTAAATATATTTGTTAACAGTAGATAATATTAGAAAAAGTTACTTTATTAATTACCGAGACAACATAGTATATATACACGAAAACTCTAGTTTAAGAAAAGGAAATAAAATAAAGACCTAACTTCTAACCTAAGAATAAATTAAAGTTGTCCAATAATATTTTAGCTAATTACAACCTGTAATACTATTCAAGTCGGATTATTTGTACAAGTTCATAAAATTATTTGATATTAAACGGATTAGATGAATTATTAAATTTAAAAATCTTTTTTATTTTTATTTTATTATGTTTTTAAATTGATTTAATTGATTTAATTTCTCAATTACACGTTGTTAACATATTGTTTTTAAAGGTTTGAACAACTTTTCTTAAAAAAATCATCCAATTGAGCTCTTCAGTTTTAAAAAGGATCTATTAACTCCTTCAATTAAATGAATCGTTGTTGGTTGATTTGATTGTTAATGAAAACTAACGAAATAAGCATATTGATTTTTTTCTTTGTTTTATGAGGGTTTAATTTTAAAGATTATGAAAATAAAATTGAAGTTGGACCCAATTTCTTTTAGTCAATATATGATTTATCGATAAATTAATCCGAATCAGGTATTGCAGACAATGGCTACCATTTCAACCTAATTTTCTTTATTTACGAATGTCAGGATTTGAACCTCTGACATTATTTAAAAAATCTAATATCTTATCCCGAAAAATCATCCAGCTATAGATAATTAGACCCAAAATTTCACTAGTAATTATTAGCGTTAACATAAGAATAATATAAATTGTAGAATAAGATATATATATATATATATATATATATGTATATAACTATAATATTTATGTGTATCATATTCCATGATTTAGATTATTTTATACATAATCAGTGGCAAACCCAAAAAAATATATATAGACCGAGCAATATAAATATAACAATATTTTTATCTAAAATAATTTTTATATATTTTTAATTTTAAAAATATGATTATAATTATATATATGGATTAAATCTAAAAAAATATATTAAATGGATCAATATAATTTTCTTTAATATAATTCATATATACAGGGTAAACTAACTATTTGGTTACCCGTTTATTACTCAATTTATGTTTTGGTCACTCAACTATTTTTTTTTCAAAATCATAACTAACCTTACATTTTGGTTCTATTTTTATCACTCACCATTAAAAAATTAATAATGATGTTAACATGATATTTTTAATTATTTTTAATTATGATATGACATTATCTTATGATGACACATTAACATCATTGCTAAATTTTTAAAGACGAGTGATCAAAGTAGAACCAAAACGTAAATTAAGTGTGATTTAAAATAAATAATAGTTATGTGTCCAAAATAAAAATTAAATAATTAATGAGTGACTGAATAAATAAGTAGGCCTAGGCTTGACATTGATAGAAATATTATATATCTATCAATTACACAAAAAATTATTTGATCCCTTCTAATATCTTTCCTTATTGATTAATAATAGTCTTGGTTAACCAAAAGAATGGATTTTATTTTTTAATGAAAATATTCAATTAGGTGCACCTTCATTTATAAGACTCAATTGAATACTTTTTTTATTATAAAGACTCAATTGATTTTTTTAATTTTTATTTAAGTATTTTTAAACCGTTAATCTCTTTTTAAATTATGGTGACAAAACCATATTAAAAATACATGAATCAAATAATTTGAATGGTTAAGGAATGTATTATAATTTTTTAAGATTTTGAGTTCGAACATCGTGTATGTAGGAGAAAAACACTCATTTTAAGATTTTGGTTATACATTTCATATTTACTAATTTAATCGAAGGACAAATAATTTGGAAGAATCGAATGTGAAATTGGAAACTACACGTCATGAAACAAGGAGCATATATTCTACCGAACGTGGAACACGTATGGATGTGGTTCGTTTATATTTTAGAGTAAAAGTAGAATGCTGAACCTTACATTTTATATATAAAAAAAGCCTTCCAGAAAGCCTCTGCTTTCATTATTTGTTTTGTTCTTTTCTTAGAAGAAGCAAAATTTATTGTAAGATTGGTAAGTCAGCATATTAACGTCATAAAATGATGCCATCCATTCAAACCATACAAAGTTTGCGTGATATATGGAAGGAATAAGGTTGTCACGTGAAAGTGTTTGAAGAGATATGAGATTTTAAAGTTGCAAGGTTTAATGTGAGGAACACATTCCAATTTAATTTATTACATTTATAATATTGTGATTTAAAATTTTATCTTTATTTAAAGATTTAATATTTCATCTTATCAAATCAATTAATTATTAATAATTTCAGTTTAATTTTGATTTCTGAGTGGGTCATCAAAGTAAAAATTAGAAAAATTTTAATCTGAGTTCGTTGGTGGGATCAAATGAGTTGTCACAGTTATAAGCAACTTTTTTTTTTGTTTGGACGGAGAGCCGTTGCCGACCATTGGTCGGTAATCTCCATAAGGAGGTAGAAAAGAGATGAGTTGGGACACAACGATTCCGGAGGGATTGTTAATAATTGTCAACACATGGTTCATACTTCTTCACTTCATACCCCCTCAACATCTTTTGTTTCCACTCTTCCACAACCAAGTCAATCTGTTTTTTTCAAGCACAGCGACTGCAAGAGAAGTTACGTGGTATTCCGATTCAGGAGTCACCCATCATATTACAAATGATCGTTCAAATCTTCAATCGGACAAGGTTTATACAGGTAATGATTTTCTTCTTATGGGTAATGGTAATGGTTTTCTTCTTTATGAGGAGCGTCATCACTAGCACAAGAAACGTTTTCATTATGAGGACCATCATCACCATCACAAAAAACATTGGATCGATACAGATTATGATTTGTGAAGGATACTTTTTCTAATAATGTGCAGTCACTTGCATCCAAGAACCATAGATATGGTGGAAGCTCTGAAAATGATTTAAGACTTGAAAGACTTTTGCAATAATCAAGATCCAGCATATGCAGGGATTTCAACTCTGAAATAATGCCTGATACATTTGTCACCTTTGAGTTTCTCAGTATCAACTAAGTCCAACCAGATGCTCAATTGAATGAGAGACTTCTTCTATTTCAATATTTGATAAATCTAAATAAACTTCTTAAGATTATAACAGCCCTCAAATCGAAGGGTTTTAAGTGATGTCAACTGATTGAATGAACGAAGCTCATCCAAACTTTAGCATGACCTACCGTCCATGTCACACCCTAATTTAGGGGCTAAATTTTAGAAATTATAAAGTATTGAATTTAAGTGGTATCTTGTAAGAAATTGAGGATTAAAGTGTAAAATTGCAATGTTAGAACACTATTTTATGAAGTGCATGAAATTTAGGGACCCTGTCCTGAATTTATCTATTTTATTAAAGAATAAACTATCTATTAATAGAGTAAAATTCTTTTTAAGAAATTTATCACTTAATTCCCTAAATGTTTCCAATTTTATACTTTAATCATCAAACTTTCAAAAATTTCATTTTGGTCATTATCTGAATTTTTGTCATTATCTGAATTTTTGGGGTATTACAATGTCTATCTGTATCTTCACGTTCTTTAGCATCATCTGGTAGTATTGTATTACTGAGCTTCCCAAAGCTCACTCTGTTACTCGCCTTTTCAGGTTACAAGAATCGTATCAGTACATCTATCGACATCAGTAAGGGAATTCCTCCGGCGTTGCTTACAGAGTATGGTACATGTGATTAGAGGCATGTAGATTGTATTTTGTTTATATATACGAGTCTGAAAATCTGTTTTATTTCTGAATATTGGTCAAGTTTACTTTTGTATTTATAAATTATTTTATGAGTTTACATGTTTTAATAAAAGTTTTAAATTTTTCACTATTTTTACAGTGGGTCGTTCCGGTGACCCTAATGTGACAATCCAGATCGGATCGGGTTAACCGCATCGGTCTGAGGGGGTTACATTTAGTGGTATCAAAGCTTAGGTTGAGTCGAGTTTTCTGGATAGACTGACCAATCGAA